TTTTCTTCTTCCTTCCCCTCTTCTTCCTCTTCCACCTCCTTCACCTCACCTCTCTTCTCTCTTTCTTTGGTCTTATTTCACCTTTTGGATGAATACATTCCATAGACTACAATATGTGCTCGAATTCTCTCTCTTGCATCCTCAGGTGTGTGCCAAGACGGTTATTCATGATTTGGTGACTAATTGGTGTGAACTTTATATGTCCTTTATAGGAAACCAACACAAAATCCTGTTCCATATCCTGCTGCCACCTGTGTCTTTGTCTATTGAATAGTTATCATGTCATAATTAGAACATTAATCTGACTGCATTAGTTTGTCTTTCTCTGGAGATCTCCAGAGTCCTCATGCCTTTCTTAAGATGCCCAGAGCAGAGCTGACCTCAATTCCTGGAAGACACCTACCAAGTAGACCTTCGGCCTTGAGCTCATGAGCCCAGGAGAATGCTGAGGCAGAGAGCAGGTCCCACGACCTGCCCAGATTAAAGCCCAGGGCCAGGTGCTCAAAGTCAGGAACTACATGCACTTATAGGAAATACAGTTCAACTTTTATTGGGGATCTGTCATGGTTTCACGAGATGATTTTACCTCCTTGTTCAATTTGTTGCTCAGGTTACCTGCTTCCTACTTTTTTTGGCTTCTCACTTTGGAAATCTTCCTACAGTTTACTTCAGGGCCAGGGACACTACCTTAATCAGTATGAGGATGCAGGAAAAAGAGAAGTGGGCTCTGGGCACCTCCACTGACACAAGAAATCTATGGATTGCCTACTACATGCTAGTTCCCTTGTTAGGCACTGGGTGTAGCCTTATATCAGGTACTGTCCTTTCCTTGTGATTTTGTACTCCAAAATGTAGAGGAAAAAAAAGTCATGTTAACAATAAAGCAATGCTAAATTAGCAACTCATGTAAGTGAAGTTTCTGGACAGTTTTATTACCAACTTTGGGGGGTGTGTGTGTATGTGTATAGGATGATCTAAAAGTAAGGGGCCCATTCAACTATACCTGTTGTTTCCTGTCTCTTCCTTTTAAGTTCTCTTATCTATGGTAAGCTCCCCGCCCCAATCTTTATGGTAACTATATTTGAAAAATGTCTCTTTGTGTGAAAACTTGTCAAAGACAAGTTTTACTTCTTTATTTATAAAATAATGAGACTGGATTTGATGATGAATACAAACCTTTATTTCTAAAATCTGAATCACTGGGTCAAGAAGAGAGCATGTCTCCTCCTACAACCACATCAAAGTTACAACTAAACTACAGAACAACCATTACTCAGAACTGTCAGAAATTGAGTTGAATGAAAGTCTGACAACTATGGACTAATGACTGCATTCATCCAGACTAGTAAGAGACATGGAGATGTGGAGATATGGAGACACGGAACAGGCTGGTCTCACACCCACATGTGGTGGATACAAATTTAGGAGGGATATCTAAGGAATGAGGGGTCCAGCCTCATACCAGATCCCCCAGTCCAGGGTCCCAGTGCCAGGACGATAAGACCCATAACTTCTGGCTATAAAAACCAGGAGGTTTGAGTTGGTGAAAAGAACTGCTGGAGTACCAAGCAGTGACTCTTAAAGGGCTGACATACAAACTTACTCAGACTCACTCCCTCTGAGCTCTAGCACTGGTGGAGCAGGTTGAAAGGCACCAGTGGCGTACAGGAAGGAACTGAAGTGTCCGGCATCAGGATGAGAGCTCAGGGACAGCTTTATCCCAAATAGAATGGTGGGCAGAGGCCATTATTTCTTTTCTGATGACCCCCCCCCGCCACACACACGCAGAGCTACAGAGCTGGTGGGCAGGTGTCGTATCTGAAACTCCATCAATCTGGCTCACACAGTTTGCTCTACTCTGGGGAATCCCTGAGGCTCTGCTCTACCAAACTTACAGCACACCCGAGCTGTTAACAGTGGCTTTTCCATATGAATGGCTGGTCTCAGCTCAGGCTTCACAACTTCCTAAATCCTCTCAAATAAGCAATGAGCCTCAGTGAGTCCCCAGCCCCCATACTTGTAGCTAAGTGGCCCCAAGCCTGGAACTAGCAGCAGCCAGCTTTGGATCACAGTTTGGCTTTGCCTGGGAACTTCTGAGCCAAGTACAAGTAGCAGCCTTCTGCAGATTGCTTTGTAGCTCAGGGTACGTGGACCTGGCTAGAACACAGATTGGGGCTGAACTTGGCCTGCACCACCTGGAGACGCCCCAGAGCTTGCACACCCAGTGAACAGCTACAGACCAGACCACAATGGAGCGCCACTGCCCTGCCACTGCACAGGGGATCCTCCATGGAGAGCTAATGTTGGTAGTCAGTGGTCAGAGCCAGTCTCCACAGCTGACTGGCCTGGGTAAATCCCTCCCATTGACCTGCCAATAGCAACCAAGCTTCAACTATAAGAGGAGGATGTACTCAGCTCACACAGAGGGCACACCTTGAGTACCCAGCTTGGGTTATAGGAGAGGCTGTGTCACTCCTACAGGATATCTACTATATTAAGCCATACAACCCAGATAAGGAGTAGTAGCAGCTCTACATATTACATAGAAACAAACACAAAGAGGCTGCCAAAATAGCAGACAAAGAAACATGGCCCAAATGAAAGAAAGATCAAAATTCCAGAAAAAGAACCAAATAAAATGAAGATGAGCAATTTATCAGATGCACAATTCAAAACACTATTTATAAGGATGCTCAAGGAACTTAGTGAGGACCTGAACAGCATAAAAAAGATCCAGACAGAAATGGAAATAAAGAACAATTTACAGGGATCAACAGTAGAATGGATGAAGCTGAGAATCAAATCAATGATATGAAACATAAGGAAGCTAAAAATAATCAGAATAACAAGAAGAAAAAAGAATCCCCCCCCCCAAAAAAGGTGATATAAGGAGCCCCTGGGACAACTTCAAACATTCCCACATTCACATTACAAGGGTGCCAGAAAAGAAAGAGCAAGAAATTGGAAATTTTTCTGAAAAAATAATGAAAGAAACTCTCCCTAATTTGGTGAAGGACATAGACTTGCAAGTCCAGGAAGCAGAGAGAGTCCTGAACAAGATGGATGCAGAGAAGCCTACACTAAGACACATCATAATTAAAATGTCAAAGGTTAAAAGTAAAGAGAAGATCTTAAAAGCAGCAAAAGAAAAGCAGTTTGTTACCTACATGGAGTTCCCGTAAAACTGTCAGATTTCTCTAAAGAAACTTTGCAGGCTGAAAGGGATTGGCAACAAGTATTCGAAGTCATGAAAAGCAGGGACCTACAGCAAAGTATGCTCTACCTAGCAAAGTTATTACTTAGAATTGAAGGGATGATAGAGAACTTCCCAGAGGAAAAAAAACAAACAAAGAAAAACCCAAAGAACTAAAGGAGTTCATCATCCCAAACCATTATTATATAAAATGTTAAAGACACTTACTTAAGAAAAAGAAGATCAAAACTATGAACAACAGAATGGCAATAAACACATAAAAAATTGAATCTAAAGTATAAACTAAGCAAACAAGAAGAACGAAGGCAGAATCATGGATATAGAGAGTATTTTGATGGTTGTCAGATGGGAGGGAGTTTGGGGGTTTATGGGAAATGAGTGAATAGGTAAGGGAATTAAGAAGTACATATAGGTAGTCACAGAATAGCCATGGGGATGTGAATTACAGTATAGGAAATGGAGCAGCCAAAGAATTACATGGGTGACCCGTAGACATGAACAAAGAAGTGGGGATTGCCTGAAGGAGTGTGTGTGTGTGGGGGTGCTCACTGGAGGAGACAATAGGGGAAAAATTGGGACAACTGTAACAGCATAATCAATAAAAATATAATTGAAAAGGAAAACAATAAAAAAAATCTGAATCAATGAAAATCCCTAAATAAGGAATTGATTCCTCTTACCCATATTCTTATTTCTTCATCAAAGAATTTAGGTCGGTGAATCAGTCCTAATGGTGTGATGTCTCTGAACCTCTGGCATATAATTACATGTGTTACCCTTTAGGATTTGGCATACACTATATTGTGTTAATATTAATCATTAGAGCTTGAGTTCCTAATAGGTTTTGACTCCTCTTCATTCTTGGTGCCTGCCAGTCTGTGGTCTACCAATGGTTGCTCAAAGTGACTGGTTTTTAGCATTCTCTGGTGAGCTTTAAGACCTAAGTAATAGACAGAAGATAGACTTCCATGCCTCATGCCTCAATTTTCAGATGCTGTAGGTCTATGCTAGTGCTCAGGAATCACAGCTTTAGAACATTTCCTAAGTTGATTTTGATGATCAGCCATGTTTGGGAGCTAGTGGTCTTAATGCTACATGAATGACTTTCTCCCTTCTTGTTGAGTGCTGGATTTGACCTGTGATCTCAGAGTTCTCATTGCAGTGAGGGCAAAATCAGGAGACATGACATGTAACTCCTCTGGTCTTCAGTGGCTGTCCTCCAGGGACCAGCACTCAGTAGTGATTGGTAATCGCCTTATTAATGACTATTAGAAACCAAGTTGTCAGTGTGCTTAACTTACATAATGTGACCCATCAGCTTGGCAGGTGGAGAGGTGAGACTCGCTGGCTTGGAACACCCTCTGGGATTCTCTTTATTGTACATGAGTCAAGTTGCCAATCCCACAGGCCTCCTTATTTCACCGTTGGGAGACTTCAACATTTCCTGGATGGTTGATTGCCTTTTAACAGTCATTTCATTGATGGGGAAATGGAGACTGAGAAAGTAACTTCCCAGGATCCCTAGCTGGTATATGGTGTAGTTTGAGTTTGAGTTTGAACTTAACTCAACACAATGGATTTAACTCCATATTAATGCCTGACTCATAAAACCAAAGTTAGTATCATAATTTAACACACAAAATTATACCTTTTACCTTAATCCAGGGCCACAGGCTGACAAGTTATTATCAAAATCAACAGTAACAACATTGTTTTATATTTGATCAAAGGGAGCATTTGTAAAGGTGAAAAGTAGGTCTTATGCATTCAGCCTTTTTTGCCCCTCTTTCGCAAAACACAAACTACCTTTATTATATTACCACTGAATGATGGTTTTAATTTAATATACATAAGGAAACCATTACTCAAGAGGGTAGTCATAATTAATTCAAACATGTTAGCTAAAAATAAAAAATATATTTATGACATCAATCATTCCTTTTTCCCATAAATCTTGACAACAAAAATTGGCCTTAGTTTCTGATTTTTCATGTGCTTTCTTCCTCTGAGTTATAGAAAACTTCCAGAGACATAAACACCTGCCTATACAAAGAAGCAGAGTGGCAGTACATGACATCTATTTTTCATTCTTAAAGAAAAAGTTGTGAAAAATAAGCTTTTTATCTGTTGTTTAATTCTAAAAGGAAGCAAATTTGAAAGATTTATGAATATAACATAAGTGGGCAACCTGTTTTGTTATTTGAAGCTAACACAAACACCAAGTTGATCTAAGCTGGTTGGAAAGGAGAAAGAATAACTGTGCCCTCCCTAAGATTTGACAGTTTGGACACAGATAGAAACTGACAACCTCAAGGAGAGAAGGTTAAGTTTAACATGTCTTCCCATGTGCCACTGCAGTTCAAGAAGGTCATTGGAGAAGTTTAAACTGGTCCATCTCCCTAGAAGGTAGAAAAAGTTAAGTAGTTAGGACATCATTTTTTTGTTTACTTCTTCCTTCCCTCCTCCCTTCCCTTATTGGTTACTTCTTGAATGTTTTCTACACTATTCTGACTTTTTTCCAGAGCTTTAATCTCTAACAACTACTTTTAGGTTATAGGAGTTTAAGATTTATTTTACTTTGCATCATTTATTATTAAATATAACTTCTATAAGAGGCACATAGAGTTCAATTGGTGTCTCCAAAGCCACAGCTAAGCAGAGGAGCCAGGATTTGAACCCAGGGAGGTTTAACCCAGAGGTCGTGTTCTTTTTCTGGGAGATGCCTTACTATTTTTCAGGCTCTTGGTAAATAACAATCAGTACAATGTACTGAGCCTTCTAGCTGTTCAAGTGAATGTATTTTAATCACCCCATGAGAGACACTCAGTCAGCAACCTTAGGAAGTTGGTTTAACAATAACCTTTTTACAAAAAAACAGATGAGGGCAACTGACCAAGACCAAGACCTTGGCCAAGACTGCAGAGCTGACATCCATCCCAGGTCATAGCTTGAATTTAAAGCATGTTTTTATCTATTGCATGTTTTTACCTATTACTTCATTCTAGGATTGTGGCAGGCTCAGGAACCTCTCCATAAATATTTTCTGCCCGAGTGAATGCTGATCTGTTCACTCCGTACAGAAGTTCGACAAAGGTGGTTGGGGTGACTACGACTCTGAGAAGTTAGGCAGCTTGCGTGGGTGACTCAGCTATTAAAAAGCTACCCAGAGCCTGTGTCTTTTCACAGGGTCCTCCTAGGAGAGGAATGCTGACCTGCTTTGTGAGAGAAAAGCGAGCAACAAAAAAGGAATCCTTACCAGGTGGTGTTCATTTACTGTACTTTTAAAGTTTACACAGATTTGAAGTTTTCCAAATAGAAAGTTGAAGAAGGAAAGAGGGAAGGAAGGAAGGAAGGGAGGGAAGGAGGGAGGGAGGGAGGGAGGGAGGGAGGAAGGGAATTCCAGCAGAGTTCATTCACCATTTATTGTCATTTGACTATCAAGTGATTTATTCATTAAAATTGTTTAAATATGGTATGTGAATAGATGAATTCACTGAAAAGAGTCAATGTACTGATGTTTATGGGTATGTTTAAAAATTTTTAGATAATCCTCAGATTTAGTAAACTACTATTTTATATTCAAAGAGCGGTTTTAATTCCTAAACTTGCAATGAAAATTTGCTAACTAGCTAAAAAGTATAACTGTCTTCTTTGAAAGCAAAACAAAGAAATAATACCAGTGTTTAAAATGAATTAGCTGATTTAGAAAGCAAGAATTAAGTTAGGAGGAATCACAAGCTATAAATGCTTAATATTCTTACTGTTATTCTAAAAATAATTTTGATGAATCACTGGTAGTTTTATTTCCTCTCCAATTGTGTTTACTGACCAAAAAATTTAAATACAACACAATAGATTGAAAATTTATAGCAAAAAAACCCCACCAATGGTCAACAAATTTGTAAGACATGCATTTAATGGTAGATTTTTGGAACTTTTTGTTTACTTTTTTTATATTTTATTTTATTTTTTATTTACTTTTAAAATTTTTTTTTTTAAGAGAAAGAGAAGAAAGGAAGGGGGGAAGAGAGAGAGAAACATCACTTTGTTGTTCCGCTTACTTATGTATTCATTGGTTGATTCTTGTATGTGCCGTGACTGGAGATCAAAACTGTAACCTTGATATATCAGGACGATGCTTTAACCAACTGAGCTACCTGGCCAGGGCTACTTTTTTATACTTTAAAATATATAATTGTTAAACCTTTATTGAATAATATAAAGTGGAAAGAAAGAGAAAATGAAAGTCTTCTTACTCACAAACAACTATCATTTACTATTTGGGTTGTAGAAAAGAAAATACCCTGAAGTGTGTTTTGTATGTTGCTTGGTAACTTTAACCTACCATGTAGCTCAGGTTAGGAAATGGTGAGAATATTTCAGGCCAGCGAGTGGTGTGTTACTGTGGACAATAGGTGCATTTGACAAACGGTCATTCCCTGGGATTTTCACGTAACGTTATCGTAAATTTCCATATGTGTATGCAGTCCTTTGCCTCCAGGACTACGGTCAACTGGGTGTGAGACTAAAAATTTTGCTCACCTTCAGCTGGAGTTTGTTAATGTGCACAGAAAGAATTTTTGGGTTCTAGGGACCCAGTGTCACCATTTCCCTAGGTTGATGGAGGGGACTGCCTGGACTATTCAGCCCAGCTCTGGTTTTCTGTAGCTGCCTCCCTCTGTACCATGTCATTCCACCAACACTGCAGGTCAGCCTTGGCTTCCTCATTCTGAGCAGTAAGGACAAAGACCTCAGCTTACCCCACAGCAGCCACAACACTGGCAGTCTCCACACAGGGTCCCCAGGAGGCCATTGACCACCTGGATGACGCAGAGAAGCATCTGGATCAACCCTATGACCAGCAGGATGGAGAAGAGGGTCAGATTCCAGGGAATCACATTCGCAGGCTCCTTGCATATGTCCCATAAGGATTTGTCACTGAGGTAATCCCTGTAGGGAGCATGGAAAAGAAGGAGACATCTATAAAACATAACCAATACTCTAGGCTACAAAGTCACCATAATAATTTTTTTTTGCAATACTTTCCATCCAAAAAAATAAGCTCAATAAGGGAAAAAAAATCCCATGATAACAACACTTTTTAAAAACAATGCTTAACATTTTTATAGACTATATGCTATGTTTTAGACCCTGTTCCAAACATTTTACACATATTCACTATTTTATTTCTTATAGAAACTTTATGGTTCTTGGCCCTGACTGGGTAGTTCAGTTGGTTACAGCATTGTCCTGATACACCAAGGTTGTGGGTTTGATCCCCAGTCAGGGCACCTAGAACAATCAACCAATGGATGCATCAATAAGTGGAACAACAAATCTCTCTCTCCCTCATCAATTAAAATAAGGAAGAAAGAAACCTTATGGAGCTTTTCTTCTATAATAAATAGAAGATGTCTTCACAAATAAAGACATTGAGGCACAGAGAGGTTAAGTAACTTGCCCCTCAGTCACATAGCTACATGTTACAGAGTGATTTTTGTGAGCTGACTAAAAGAATGGATAAATTCAATATCTAATAGGGAGCCAGGAAAATGAAGACACAAATGTTCCTGGGCTTTCTCTCACCTGTTGTCATTCGGGACCACTTGGACTTTTGACAAAATTCTTTCACATCTAGTGGTCATCTGAAGCCATGCAACATACAATTGTGTCATACAGTTAAAGGGAAGAGCTTGATTTTTTTTTAAAGGCCTAATTCTAGCCAAATTTTTAATTTGACTCAACTATATTTTGCTTACATGTGGGAATTCCGCATACAAAAATATTTAATTAATTAAAAGCACTAAATAATCTGCTTTAATATATAATTTATAAAAACTTTGAAATAGTAGCACTATAAAATATTTATAAATTCTGTGTATTAGGAATCCACTGCATATAAAGGACGACATGCTATGAAGGAGAAATGTGTACCCTGCTGTCTTCAACAAAAAGCACAGGAAAGTGGGTCAATCTTTTGGGTTATTATTATTCCTTCTCTCATTCTTAGAGCCACAAATTGGCCTTTCCCCCCTTTCCTTATGCCCCCACTATCCTCTCAAGGCCTCAATGCGAACCTCTGTCTGCATGTGGCTCCTAAATCAACATCCACCTTATTGTTTTTAGATCTTTTTGATGACCCTCATTTCTGATAAATTCTTTAGTAATCAGTACACACTTATTTCAATATATTTTGTGTTAAAATTTGAAAAATCTTTGCAGTGATGGAAGATGCCTTGGCATTTAACAGTCAGAGGAACAAGGGAGTGAGCATTTGCTCTTGATTTAAAAAATAAAAGACTGTTTATAGCATTGATTCACCTTTCCACAAGAGCACAGGGTTTAGCTACGCACTAGCTGCGTGACTTACCTATAAAATGGGAATGACATCATCTATGGAAACATGGAGTTATTGTGAGGGCTAAATGAGTTCATACTAGGAAAGAGATTAGGACCGTGCCTAGCATATAGTAAGTGCTCAATGAGTGCTAGTATTGTTATAATTTCACTTAATCTGAGCTGCCTGGTCTACAGGACAGAACCTGGTATTTTGACTTCTGATAGACTTGGGTTTGAGTGCAAGGATTCATCTTACTATCTGTGAATTCCTCATACAAATTACTTATGCCCCCCATCCCTCTCCCTGGCACAGTATCAGTTTCATTATCTATACCATAGGCTAAAAACAACCTCTCAATTGTGAGAATTCCCGGAGACAATATCCCTTACGAATTGTTGTGCAAGGCCTCTCTTCAGTAGTTATTATTTGTAAAACACTCATCTTTCTGCTCTGCATTTTTCCTTGTATTTTCCTGTGTATCTATCTACACAGATTTTCAACTTGCTGATGATAAAGCGTTATGGAGAGACACCATTTCCCAGGCACATTTGGTAAAGGAAAGCCCCTGAGGTGAAGCGATAGGCAGCGCCGAGTTCTTTCCCTCCCCTGCAGCGTGGGCAGCGGCGGGATGACAGCGTCTCCTGGCGGTGAGATTAGTAAAACGCTCAAGCGGGACCTTGGCAGCCAGGACTGAGCTTGGCGCCTGGAGCAGGGCTCAGCCCCACTCCCGCTGCTGCCTCAGGCCCCACAAACCACCACGGATGGCTGCTCCAGGCCCTTCTTCTCTGCCCTGAACTCGCAGGTCTGAGCGTCTCAGAGATCCCGACGATGACTGCCGTGCCCTGGTGAGAGGGGCTCTCCTATCTCGTGGCCCTGGGGGCTAATCCTGCCCCATAGTCTGTGAAGCAAGGGGAGCTGGGGCAGTTTCCAGGCAGTTTACTGAGCATCCGGGTTCTTGTGCAGGGCCTTTCCACCCGAGCTGCAGTGATCCTGTCAACATCGGCCCAGAGAGCTGTGCATTTCCCGCAACTCACTCCCTGCAGCTGAAGGAAGGAGCAGGGGAGGCTGGATGCTCAGCCTGGCTCCTCTGTGGGGCTAATCCAGGTGCCACCTCCTCCTCCGGGACAGACTGCTGGTGCTCCTCCTGCCTTGAGCTGCCTTTGGTTTCCCTTGTGTGCTTCCCAGCACTCCGTGTCACCGGCTGGCCTTCTGTCTGTCTCCTCTTTGGGACTTGACACTCACGAGGGCAGGGCCATGTCCCCTGTGTCTGTCCCCAGTTCCAGCACATGCAGTTTCAGTAACCAGCGGCTGCTTTCAGGGACTGCGACCTGCCCGTGTTCTGGGCAGCTGCTTCACATCACCCTCTCCGGTGTGACCGGGAGGTGCTGCTCCCCTTGGACAATGCCTGGCAGAGAGTTACCTTCAGGGAACAGTCACTGGGTGAATGAGCCTACAGATTCTGAATGCAGATTAAAAAGTTGAGGCTGGAAATGGAAGTGCCTGGGTTTGACCTAAAGCCTGTCTGACTCCAAAGCCAATGCTCCTCACCATTACACAAATCCCTTTGTTCAACTAATTGTATCTGCTTAGTATATTTAAAATATGATCTATTGAAGAAATAATTCAAATACATCTATTGTAGTGTGACAATCAAGGTTTACTTATACTATGATAAAGAGATCATTCTCTTTGAGTCTTTATGTGAGTGTTTGAAAATATTCAAATTAAATCACAAATTTATTAATGAAGCATAACATTTTAGAAAGTTCTAAAGCATAGTACGAAATTCCATTTATAGCAATGAGTTGTATTCATAAAAATGAATAATAATGCTGAAAGTGTAGCAAGGACTATGTGTCAGTAATTGTGCTGAGTGCTTTACATACATCATGTTATTTCATTCCTGCCTGAGCTTGTGAAACAGATCTTTTGGTTACCCCCCTTTACAGAGAAAGAGCTGAGACAGGACTTCATGGCCCAAAGGCACATCTGTCAGTATCTGCTGAGGTTTGTTGGGAGCCTAAGACTAGTCAGGCCAAGGGCAAAGACAGTTTTTAACATCTGCATGTTTTTCCTGCTTCAAGCGAGCTGGGAACAGTTGATGTAGTCCCATCTCACCTTATTGATATGGGTGTGTTTTTTAGCTCTAGGGAATGTTTTCACAAGCAGCTTATGAGGTTCCTTGCTCATAAGTAATCTTTGAAGTGCAAATGCAGATGGGGTTAACTGAAAGTCCACAGGCAGATCATTTAACTGAATTCAGCCCTGTGATTTGGTGGGAGAACGCTCTCCCCACCTTTTCCTCAGGGAGCAAGGAGGGCTCCAGTCTGACCAGGGAGTGCTGTGCTTGGCTATGCCCGTTGTCCTGCCCCCGCTGCTGAATTTCCTTGGCCTTTCCTCCAGTTTTCCCTCACACAGCTGTCCCCATGCCCTGTGCAAGCTGCTTCCTTTTCAGTGGCTCAGGGTGAAAGTAGAGGTGGCCAATTGTCTCAGAAAGGAAGACCTTGGATGGGAAGAGATCTTACTTCAAAGGAAGCCAAGAGGGAGTATCTCAAAGTATCTTAGTTTCTTTTTCCTTCTTTAGGATGCCTCTTTAGTATGGTTCCCATGACAGAAAATGTAAACTGTCTTTGCTCCTTTAACATGAACACAAACAAACACTTCTGAGAAATGCAGGGTGAAATTCTGCATCACTGAAGAGCCCCACATCCTGTGTCCCAAGCTGGAAATCTGAGTCCCCCTTGATTCTCTCCCCATCACGCGGAATCCTGATGATCCCAGAATCTTTGCAATCTGAGCCCCAGTTCCACTGTCATGCGGATGCTCATGATCTTATCTGGATTGTTAGTCCAATGTCCAGTTATGGAGCCCTTTTGTTCGTTCTCCATGTTGCTACCATTGTGATCATCCTGAAATTCCTAAGTGGTCATGTCCTGCCTGAAGTCCTCTGCTGTTCCCTGATGTCCTGAAGGTCCAGCCTACCTCTCAGTCACCCCCTTCGTGTGGTGCCCCCATTTCCCCCCTCCCCTACATTCACCCTGAGCTTCCAGCCGTTCTCTGAGCATCTCGGGCCTTTTCTCAGTTGCTTCAGGGCTTGTTCTTCTCTCTGCCTGAAATGCACGTCCCCTCCCTCCTAGAAGGCACATTTCTCATCTTCTGAAACCAACCTATGTCACTGCCTTAAGGAAGTTTTTCTCGCACTCCTCCATTTCACCCCTTTCTGCATTGAGGCTCTGACCTGTGTTGCCACCCAGCGCTCGTTCAAGCAGGGAGCACGCCTGTCTTCCTTTGCGTCGTGCTGGGACAAGCTTCAGACTGAAGGAGGGTATTGCCAGGTGTTTTTATTTTGTTTGTTTGCTTATTAATTCTCCTATTAATTAATAGCTGGAGAACCCTCAGCAAATTAGCCTCTTAAACTTTATTTTTCTACCTCACAGATAAGAATTCTTCTCAGATTCAGATTTATTAGGAATATTAATTGAGGTAATTTGTGTAAAATACTTAGCCGTTAATCATTAACAGGAGGAGGAGGAAGAGGAAGAGGAGGGAGAAGCAGCTGCCACAGCTGCCATTTAGTGATAAGGAAAGAGTGGCAGCTGTCTTGAGTTTTTTTGTTTGGGCTCATACAATGATTACTCTTTTCTGCTTCCTAAGCAGCTGTGTACGTGTGTTAGGATTACAGCTATGTCGATAACTGCTGCAATGCTCATACGCTGGGATACAATGGATAAGAAAATTCCATGGCCTTGTAAAACAGGCTGGAGCTTTGCTAGGTGGAATCTATACAAAAAAGCAGATAGTGGCAATCAATATGAATTGTGGTCAAGATAATGGACTGTGCCTTGTCCAGTGTGACTCAGTTGGTTGGGTGTTGTCCTGCAAAGTGAAAGGTCACTGGTTTGATTCTCCATGAGGGCACATGCCTAGGTTGAGGGCTTGGTCCCTAATTGGGGCACGTAGAAGAGGCAACTGATATGTGTTTCTCTCGCACATCAATGTTTCTCTCCCTCTGTTCTTCCTCCCTTCCCCTCTCTCTAAAAATAAATAAATAAATAAAATGAAAAAGATAAAGCATTGTGACTTGGAGTCAGAAAATTTGGATTTGAGCTCCAGTCATTAAGAAACAGTATCCTTTTGGGTAAATCACTGTCAACTCTCTGGGCTTCAGCTATCTCCTCTGAAGGACAGATAATCCTACAAGCTCTTTGGGAGGATTGAATGAAACCTTGTGGGTGAAAGCTCTTCGTTAGCTGAAATGCAAGATGGCCCTCTGCAGTCTGAGGAAAGGTTTGGAGCTGGCAGTGGAAGATTAGGTCAAAAAAGAGTGGGTGTTCTTGTCTCAGAAGGTAGGACGCAGGACGTAGAAGACAACGGAACACTGAGAAAGTATTCCAGGTGCCAGAGGATGCAGTGAGAAGCCCTCCACCTGAATCCACCCTCCTGAATGCTGTCCTTTGCCAATCGGGCCATGTTTCACTCCCTGAGTAGAAAGTGCACTTGCAATTCTAAGGTCAAGGCACAAGGGAAAAAGACCATGAATAGTCAAAACCACTCTTACCCTATAAATCGCCTGGAAGGTGTAGTATATATGGTTTTGTAATACAACCCTATAAAGCACTTTTTGATCATACGATAGTTTGAAGCCACTGTGCAGATGTTCAGGTGTTTAAACATCCCTCTAGAGCCTTATCAAGCCATACAGTGAACAGAGATGGTAGAGAATTCTGAAATGTTCCTGCTTGCCTGCAAAGTTTACTTCATTTTTAAAAATTATTAAAACTCTCTAATCTGATACTTATTAATGGATGGGTTAGTTGTCATGAGGAGTAGATAAAATAACATATATGGTAGTGTCTATCACAGAATAATGTGCAATACATGAAGAGTTGTAATATGAAAAAACCAAGCCTGGACATCCTGCCTATGCCCACAACTAGCAGACTGACTTTGAGCACGTCAAATTTATTATGCCTGTCTTGGTAGGAAGTAAATTACCTTTTGGGTTTTTTACAGATATTAAATTATAAATTTGCTTAAAAAATAAAAAAAGAAAGCTCTTTATAAACTACAAAGTACCTTGAAAATATGAGTTTTTCTTTCTAATATGAAAACTCATTTTAATGAGTTCTATCAGCATAAAATCTCATGGAGAATCTATAATGTTCCCAATGTCGTTTGCTATAAGTTTGCACCTTAAAGATGCTTTTGTTACATCTGGGTTTAAGTGAAAGCACTTGCGTTCAGTGAGTAATCATTCTTGTTTTCTATTATAAGATTTGCAATGGAACCCAATACTCTGTTTATCAATATTATTAATTGTCTCATGTGTCTGCTAATAAATTTTGGATGCCAGTGGAGACACCACAAATCTCCTTCCCTCAGGCCAGCAGAGGTGCCCTCTTTCATTATTCATCCTGGTCTCTGTCAGAACAGCATTGGGAGGTGAGATTAGAGGTGAGATCGTGTGCAACTTCACTCCAGCCCCCAATTCCAGCTCTGCCTCAAAGAGCAACATGCCTGAGACTTGTAAATTAAGATGACAGGACGTATGCAGTTTCTTCCCTTAGGCCATTTATCTGACTGTTCCCCTTGTGGTGGCAAGCAGGCATTGCAGCATATACTTTACCCATTTTGGAAGGGGTAGTCCCATACGGTATTGTTCATGTGACATTTAGGACCCTTGTTGATAGAGATAGCTGAGATGATAAATGAGTATCCAGCACCCAAGAATCCAATCACAGCAAATATTGTGGAGGTGAACATCTGAAAGAGAAGGAGAGAAACAGCCAGGTTCTGAAAGTGGTCCTTATGTTGACCTCGACATACCTAATCAGCCTATTCTTGGGCATGGTCATTATGGGTAGAAGCCAGTATTTACAGAAAATGGAGACTCTGGGGTCTCCTAGAATGAAATTTGATGTCTTATGTTCCTTTCTTTATCTCATGCCTGTATCTTTTTCACATTGATTGATGGCTGAAGTGCTAATTATGATTTGATATCTCTGAACCAAGGTTTTCAATCTTGTTAAGTATAGAATCTCCTTTACAGGGTAATATGGAAGACCAGTTTATTATAGAATCAAAAAATTTTACAACTGAAAGTAATCTTTAATGTTTTCTGTTCTAACACCTCACAGAGTCTAAGTCACTCTGTGATCTTATATAGCAAGCAAGTTCTGCTTATGGAAAAGAGTGGAAGTCTGGAAATTCTCCTCTTTGGTTATACTTATATTCCTTAAGGTCAAAAAGATTGAGTTCAACATTTCTTCCATGTGGTAGCAGCCTTTAAAATATTTGGACACTTTATATATATATATTTAAAGACTTTTATTTATTTTTAGAGAGAGGGGAAGGGAGAGAGAGAAAGATAGGGAGAGAAACATCAATGTGTGGTTACCTCTTGCATGCCCCCTACTGGGGACCTGGCCTGCCACCCAGGCATGTGCCCCAACTGGAAATCAAACCAGTAACTCTTTGGTTCACAGACCAGCACTCAATCCACTGAGCCACACCAGTCAGGGCTGGACACTTTATATCTTAAGTAAGCATATTCTTATTTATTTACTCTCCACTCCTTCTGCCCTCTGAAACTTTTCTCCTCTTTGGGTTAAGGAAGCCCAACAATTTCAGTTCTTTTCAATGTTTTTATATGACAGAGGTTACTTAGTAAAAAATAGGTTGCACTAGCAGTTCTCTTTTTTTGAATTATAAAATAAAAAAAAAATTATGCCATATGAAAAACAAACAAAAAAAAATCCTGGAGGCCATCCAAGAAAGCTGTCTGTTACTGATGAAAAATAAATAAATAAATAAATAAATAAATAAAGCCCATGGAAACTCATCCTGACCTGCCAGCCAAGATGGTGGCATAAGTAAACATGGTTCGCCTCCTCACCCAACCACATCAAAAGTATGACTGAACTACAGAAAAACTATCACTCAAAACCATCAGAAATTGAGATGAATGGAAGTCTAACAACTATGGAATTAAAGAAACCACATCCATCAGACTGATAAGAGGGTGGAGAGGTGGAACACCCTGCTACCATACCCATGTGTGGTGGAAAAAATTCTGGAGGGATATCTCAGGAGTGAGGAGTCCCAACCCCACACCAGGCCCCTTAGTCCAGGGTTCCAGTACCAAGAAGATAAGTCTCCATAACTTCTGGCTACAAAACCAGTGAGGATTGAGTTGGGGGAAGAATTTCTGGAGTTCCAGGCAGTGCCTCTTAGAGAACCCACAATAGACCTTCTAGACTCATTATTTCTGCGCTCCAGCACTGGGGTAGCTGCTTGAACGGCAGCGGCATACAGGGAGGAACTGAAGTGGCTGGCATCAAGGCAGAGCTGGGGGACAGCTTTTTCCCAGACAGAAAGGTGGGCAGAGGCCATTGTTCCTTTTCTGAGCCCTCCCCCAAGAGAGTCACAGGGCCAGCAGGCAGGTGCCATCTCTGAGACTCCATCAATCTGGCTAACACTGTTTGCCCAACCCTGGAGATCCTTTAAGGCTCTGTCCCACCCAAATTATGGCCCCACCCAAGCGGTTAACACTGACTTTTCCATGTGAATGGCTGATCTTGGCTTAGGCTTCACAACTTCCTAAATCCTCCCAAACAAGCAACAGTAGGCCTCAGTGAGCCCCCAGCCCCTGTACCTCTTGCTAAGTGGCCCTGGGCCTGACACTAACAAGAGTCAGACTAGATTGACTTCCCCTGAGAATCTCCAAACCCAGTGCAAGTAGCAGCCATCTCAGATTGCTTTTACCTCCTACATGGTGGGCCTGGGCAGAACACAGGTGGGAGCTGAACTTAACCTGCACCATTCAGGAAACCCCAGAACCTCTGCACTCAGTTAACAGCAAAAGACAACATCAGAGCACCACCGCTCAGACCCTGCACAGCTGACACTCCACGGAGGGTGGAGGTTGGTGGTCAGTGGTCAAAGCCAGTTCTTGCAGCTGACTGACCTGAATAAATCCATCCCATTGACCTGCCAACAACAACAAAGGTCAACTACAAGAGGAGAGTGTACTCAGCCCCCACACAGGGCACACCTTGAGTACCCAGCTTGGTTGAAAGAGGATACTGTGCCACTGGACCCTACAGGACACCTAGTATATTAGGCAGTGCTACCAAGACAGGGAATCATAGTAGCTCTACCTAATACATAGTAGCTCTACCTAATACATAGAAACAAACACATGGAGACTTCTAAAATGAGGAGACAAAGAAACTTGGCCCAAATAAAAGAACAGATCAAAACTCCAGAAAAAGAACTAAACAGAATGGAGGTAAACAATCTATCAGATGCAGAGTTCAAAACATTGTTTATAAGCATACTCAAGAAACTTAGTGAAGACCTCAACAGGCTAAAAAAGATCCAGTCAGAAATGAAGGATACAGTAATTGACATAAAGAACAATTTACAGGGAAAAACAGTAGAATGGATAAAGCTGAGAATCAAATCAATGATTTGAAACATAAGGAAGTAAAAAATAACCAGTCAGAACAGCAAGAAGAAAAAATAATTAAAAAAAAACAACAACAAGGATAGTGTAAGCAGCCTTTGGGACAACTTCAAACAGTCTGACAGTAGCCTTTTTTTTTTTTTTTTTTTTTTTTGTCTGTCAAGCTCTTTATCTGGTCTCTGTCATTTGATTCTAAATGATAGCTTTGCTTGGTAGAGTAATGTTGGTTTTAGATCCTTGCTTCTAATCATTTTAAGTTTTCTGCCAAACCCTCTGGCCTGCAAAGTTTCTACTGAGAAATCAGCTGACTGTCTTATGGGAACTACCTTGTAGGTAACTAACTGCTTTTCTTTTACTGCTTTTAAGATTCTCTCTTTGTCTTTATAACCTTTGACATTTTAATTATGATGTGTCTTGGTTTAAGCCTCTTTAGGTTCATTTTTTTTGGAACTCTGTACTTTCTGGGATTGTATGTCTATTTTCTCTTCAGGTTAAGGCAGTTTTTTGTCATCATTTCTTCAAATAGTTTTTAAATTTCTTATTCTTTTTCTTCTTCTGTGATCTTTATAATGCTAATGCTGGTATGCTTCATGTTGTCCCAAAGACCCATATTTTTGCATTTCTTTTCTGTTTGCTGCTCTGCTTTGATGTCTTCTGCTTCTTTGTCTTCCAATCACAGATTTATCTTCTGTTTCATCTAATTTGTTGTTAATTTTTTCTAGTGTATTCTTTATTTCCATTATTTTATTGTTTATTTCTGAGTGGTTCTTTTTTATGTTCTTTTTTTAATCTTTAAGATAAATTTTATTAATAGAAGTCTTAATAATGAATCAGCCTTACATTTCCAAAGTAAACTCTATTTGGTAATGATGCATCACTCTTTTAATATTCTGCTGGGTTTAGTTTACTAATATTTCACATTCATGTGCCATATAATGATGTCTTGGTCAATGACAGACCTGCATGTACAATGGTGGTCCTATAGGATTGTAATAAAGCTGAAAATTTCCCATCACCCAGTGATACCATAGCCTCACAACCTTTAGTGTACCACGTTCCTCATGTATTTTTGTGGATGCCAGTGTACACAAATGTTCTGCACTGCCAGCGTATAAAAGTATAATGCATAGTTATATAGGGTATATAATACTTGGTAATAAATAACAATGTTCCTGGCTTTACTACACTGTATGTATTTAAAGTATATATTTACTGCACTGTAATTCTTATCCTTATTTTTGGTTCTTTTTTATGTTTTCTATCTCCATTTTAGGTTTCCTATCTCTTTGTTGAGGTTCTTGCTGAGATCATTGAATAAACTTATAAACTCCACATCTGGTAGATTAGTTGTCTCCATTTTGTTTAGCTCCTTTTCTGGAGTTTGGTTCTATTCCTTTCATTTGAGACATTTTTTGTTTTTTTCCTTATTTTGGCTGCCTCCCTGTGTTTGTTGCTATGTATTAAGTAGAGTTACTAAGTTTTCTGATCTTGACAGAGTGGCCTTATGTAGTAGGTGTGCTATGAGGCCCAGTGGTACAGACGGTCTTTCTGCTCACCTAAGATGGGTACTTCAGGTTTGTCCCTTGTGTGGGTTGTGTGAACTTTCTTATTGTAGTTGAGCCTTGACTGCTGTTAGAATGTCATTTGGAGGGACTTACCCTCAGGCTGATAGGCTGTGAGGGCTGGCTGTCAGTACAGGGAAGGGGCCATATGCAGGTGCTGACCCTACAAAGCAAGATTTGCTTGAGCTGGGTTCTGGTGTCTGCTTGGTTTGTCCATTGGTTTTGTCTTTTGTAAAAGTGTTTGGGTGGTACTCTGCTGTGGTAATGAAGCTGGTGTGTTGGTGGCTCTTAGGAAGGGCTCTTGTTCAAGCCAAGTTCACCTGTTGTCTGTGCCTTTCCACTTGGTATGAGCTACAAAGGATCTGTAGATGTTTGCCACTTGCGAAGCCCAGAAATTTTAAAGTCAGCAGATCCAAGCTGAAATATCAGCATTGCCACTTTTTTGCTGTGTGATAACTCTGCAAAATGTATGTTTCCTCAGAGTCTTAGGTTTTCCATCTATAAAATGGGCATGATAAAGCTTATCTAAAGGTGTGTTGTGAAAATTAGATGTGATAATGTAAGTTAAATGTGAGGTACTTCCCTTTCTTCTGCATGTATTACTAACAATCTTATCACAATGTATTATTTGGGAAATGGGGTTTGGGGAAGAGGACCTGAATGGGTCTGGGCAATTGAAATCTAAGTGATAATGGAGTTCCTCTTTAGTTGGCATTTGTGTTCATATAATATAT